GTGACATCCACATCAACAACCTGAGTGTGAATGAGTGAGACATGTCAGGTCGACACAAATTTAATAATGTCCTGGAAGGGAGTGAAGTGCACCGCAATGGGTCAGAAATCAACTCTAACATGCTAAGTGCGCCAGGAGGAAAATAGGTAGGGTTCTGATACAGGGACACTGGACTGATCCAGTAGATAATGAAAACTGACAATATCCAAGGCGGACTATATTGAATATATGCCCTCCTCTTCACCACTGTCCCCCCTCCCCCTCCCCCTCCCCCTCCCCTCCTCCTCCTCTCTCTCTCTCTCTCTCTCTCTCTCTCTCTCTCTCTCTCTCTCTCTCTCTCTCTCTCTCTCTCTCTCTCTCCTATTTGCAACATTTTTTCGCAATGCAAACACTCGTTTCAAATGCACATATGCATCTTTCGAAGGTTGCGCCACTCCAAACAAAAACCGGAAGCAGCTGCGAAGTACCCCGTGACCTCTTCTCCTCTCCTACTCCTTCTTTCCCCCTCCCCCTCTCCTGGTCCTCCACTCCTTCCCACCCCTTGGTAAATCTCCGCCGACCCGAAATATCAATAGTGACGAAGTCTGGGGGAGGGGTAGAAGGGAAGAGAGAGGGGGAGGGAGGGGACGAGAGGAAGAGAGGAAGAGGAAGAGAGACCTAAACCACGTCGAACGGGATGGGGGAGGGGGAATGAATAATGATGAAGATTATTAACCTTTTGGGGGGTGGGGAGAGAAAGGAAGGAAAGGGATGGGGAAGGAGCAAGAGGATGGGAGGGAGGGAGGGTGGCATGCACCCGAGGCCGCCCCCATGACCATGGCTACTTTAATATTTCTAGACTATCAACGGGAAGGCGGAGTTCATGGGGGAGGTAATCGATGTACGAAGAGAAGAGAAGACAAAAGACGGAAGGAGAGAGATAAGAAGCGGAGAGGTGAGGAGAACACAGGAAGGAGAGAGATGGGAGATAAGGGCTTAGAGAGAGAAAAAAGATAAGACAAGAGAGGAGAGCAATTGCGAAGAGAGAGATCAGAGAGCGGATACGAGGAAGAGAAGAGAGGAAGGTACACTGCGTGGGTGAGAGAGGGTGGGGAAAAGATAGCGTGGGAGGGAGGGAGGGAGGGAGGGAGGGAGGGAGGGAGGGAGGGAGGGAGGGAGGGAGGGTGGGTGGGTGGGTGGGTGGGTGGGTGGGTAGGTGGATGGGGAGATCGGTGGGTGGGAGGGTATGTGGTCGGCCAAGTGGGTGGATGGGTTGGTGGGTTTAGCGACTGACTGACTGTGTGGGAAGGTAAACGGATGGTTGGATGGATTGAGGAAAGGGAGGAACGAAGGTACGAAAGACGGACGGATAGATACATGGATACATGAATGGATGGATGGACGGATTGCCAGACTAATGCCATGGAGATGAAGATGAGAAAAAGGAAAGGACACAATAAAGAAACGAAAAAAAATATAAGCGGGAATCTTATTTCAAATCACCAACTCGCCCCCCCCCAAAAAAAAAAATCAAAACGATTGCGAATTTGTATTTCCTTCATTATCACATAAATCAAACACGAAAACAGCACAAGCTCAAATAAATTACTTATACACATATATCAACACTGTGTGTGCGTGTGCACTCATTTTCTAATACCTTGCGGGTCTCAACCACAAGGCCGAAATCCCTCGTCCTCACAGAGCTTGCCAATCCTACTCCAGAAACGCACACAAAAGACTTGCGGCGTGTTCCCTCAAGTTCCTTGGCCACAGAACTTCCCTGAACCAATCTCTTAACAGCCGCTGATTCAGAGAACCGAGGAGGATTTGCTTTGCTTCGCATTCTATCTTATTATAAATCTGATGCTTTGTTAACAAAAATAAATTTCTCTTCTGAAAACCCTTGAGCAAAATATTTCAGTAAACACTAAGAATCATATAGTTCTAAATATCTAATTATATGATTCAGACCTTTATGAACTGATAAAAACACGTAATATGCATGTCATAATGTGATACAATACTTTAGTACTATAACACATCTGCTGTATTACACTTGATAGTATAATTACGATGTGGCATAAAACAACTTCACAATTATCATTATGACACAATGTGCGAGTTCTCCCACACCCCTGAAAACTCTCAAGCCGACACTGCGCCTTCATGCAACTTGCCATGCATTTCCTGTTCGCCCGCCAGCCTCTTCTGCTTGCCGTCGAGGTTGTCAACATCTCCGTCATTTTGGACTGCGGCCAAAACTCGAGTATTTCCTTTAGTATTTGCTAGGCATCCCTTGTCACGAATTCTTGGTGGAGAGGAATACTCTTTTAATCCTTGGTCAGGTTTATCTCTGCCCGTCAGCTGATCTGCCTGTTCCTACCAAAATTGGGACTATGGCAGGAGACGCTTAACGGCGCTCGTTGTCTACTGTCACCGTGGTGCAAGTGTGAATAACACCAAGCTTATTTCCCAGCAAAAGTTAGAGTAAATCAAAAGATATCTAATAATCTACGATAGCGGAACTGCATGAAGCTCTCAGTACAGCCCAACTGTTAAAAAAAACACAATGCAAAGTAAATGCAAATAGTATGGTGATTTTCCATATCAACGCAGCCAATGACGGAATCTAAGGAGACCAAGAAGGACGCAGAGGACGAACTGAAGGTGAACGAGGCGAAGGTGAGGTGAGCGATAGCGAGGCGGGGTAAGGGGAGACCCAAGGCGCACCAGATCCCGGGCCACTCAATGTCAAGGTAGCATCCTCTTTGGCGGTAAAGTCAAATTTGGCGCAAACTTTCAAAGAGCGGAGTATCTAGTTTTTGGTATGCTAATAGTTGGTGAAACGCAAGAAAGGAGGTTATATGCACTTCAAATTTCAATTTGCTCTCTGAACTGTATCCTCTCCCTTAGCAACTCCCTCTGTGGTAAAAGGATATTCAGTTATTACTCAGCAACGATTATATCTGCCAAACTCTGTCTTGCCATTACCGACAATCCCAAAATCGGCACATTTGACGAGAGAACCAGAATCTATTACTCTTAAAGGAGTTGGGCTATTCACTGACTGCATCGCATGTAATTACACTTTCACCGACTACCTGGATATAACAAATATGGTGATAGATTCACAATAAATCGACAAAACTCATTTCTCTTCCGAATGAGATGATTAATCATTCTGAGGATTCTTTTTTTTCAACAGCATAAAAAAATCATAGTAGTACTTGTAATTAGTAGTACCAGTCTTGGTAGTAAAAGTATTAGTAGTACTAGAAGCAAGTCACAATGATCAGTTAAGGATTGCCACACTACGTTTATCAATTATACCAGATAGCACCATCATAAAAGGAGAAATTTCGCCAAATTTAATAACTATTTTAATTTATCAAATTTTGAATTGTAGATCATTGCTTTCCTTTTTTCAGTTATTGTCCACTTCTTGCTGGTCATATTTTTCGACTAATTCAGCAGATAGTTGTTCATTTTCGCAATTTATATCTTCGCAAAGGAGACTCATTCAAAGTTTGTTTCTAGTCGTGATCTGTGATTTGTCTCTTGATATTGCCTACCACTGAGGAGATTCTTTCTGCTGCAACATAATAATGATCAGCTCTCTCCATTCCTTATTAAGGTCCTCATATTAAATTTCAACAATTCTAGGACTGAGAGCAAGAAGGGTCAATGTTAAGAAAAATACCTTTTAAAGTTTGCTCCATTAATTGTAATTTGCCCAGTAATAATTAATGAAACCTTCCTTTCCCTGTGACCAATCAAAATGTGTTGCATAATCGAATCCATTTAAAGGCACTTTCGTACATAACGAAAATAACGAATATTTTTCATAACGAAAAACGTAATATATTTAATACAGTAGTGCTTTCAAAACAAACATT